AAAACATCAGTGTGTTATCAACATTCTTCTCCTACTAAATCCAGAACACAGCACTACACCAGCTAGTAGGAAGAAAATTAACTCTATCCCAGCCAAAACCAGGACAAGCTCTCTGTCCTTGGAAGGAAGGAAGGAGAGCAGTTGCTGTGCAGAGCCTTAGAAGTGGGGCGCAGTAAACTGGAGAGGCAAGGAGGAAGGGATGAAAGAGAACCTTACTTCTCATCAAAAAGGTGCTGGACTGTGCAAGGATAGCTGAATTCAAGGTTGCTGGCGACCTCCTTGTTTCCCACAAGTGCAAGGAACACTAGAAGGAGGTTGGAAAAATAAGTATTTGAGAGGGGGAGATCTGGTTCTGCGCAGTAACAAATTGTTATGTGTGAGCCAGTATCCAAAGGTACTTCACTGCAAAATTGTCCCCTTCCCTTGTATAATGGAATCAGGAATTCCTTGCACACATCCTTCTGTGCAGCAAGAGTAGGTCTCTACATGTGGCATGTGCTAGTGTACTTGATTCCTCACATACAGGATTCACTGCAAATGTCGTCTTTCAAAAAATAAACTTAGCAGAAACGTCTAAAATGACTGCTTGTTTTATCTGGAATCTTTCCACAGTATATAAGGTGTTGTGACCTTGCTGTGTTGAGCAATTGAAGCATGTTAAATCAGTGCAAAAAAGGAGCAGTCCTAGAAATTTCAGCATACCTTCCTAAATCATTTATAGGAACTAGGGTCTGTATTGAATTAAAACAATATCTAATTTTCTTTGTTGTAGGAGTTAACTTATCCCAAGTGGAGAAACGTCAAAAGGCAGGTCAGCTCTTACTGACCTTGGACTTTGAAAAAGATATAAGAAAAATACTTCTGTTTCTTAAGGATGTGGGTGTAGAAGACAATCAGCTGGGATCATTCCTGACTAAAAATCCATACATCCTTGCTGAAGATCTGGAAGCTTTAGAAACCAGGTATGCCTTTCAAACAGAAGCAGGGTGTTAAGCCCTTTGGCTTGAAGATCTTGTTTCCCAGATGGCTTAACCTTGTCTGAAGCTGTGTTGCTGCTGCTTCTTTTCTCACTCGATCCCTGGCTCCATGTTCCTGTGCCTTCCCATCAGTCAGCGTTAACATGTGGTGGTATCATAAGTCATGTCAACACCCTGATCCACCTGAAAACTGTCCATTAACAAATTTTACTGCTCATCCCTATCTCTTGGCCACAGAGGAAGCAGCTTGCCACCCTAGGCCACTTATTTTACCTGTGTCAGCTTAGATTTGAAAATGTTGGTCCCTGACGCTTTACCTAAATTTGTAGAACAAATATTAACCTCTTCAGTCATGCTTTGAAACCACTCTTCTAGATGATACGTCTACCAATACCTTGTGAATTGGGCAGTAAAAGAAGCAGACCAGATCTCTTCTGTGTTTACTTCTAATAGCAGCAGAAGGTTTGGTGACTTTTTTTTTCCTGCTCAAACTTGTCCAGCTCAAACTGAGCACAAGACTACAATGAACTAATTTTGTTGTGTGTTCACACTTGTATGGCCTTAGACAGTTCCTCAGTGTCACCCAGCTTGTCTGTGCATAAGGGTAAATACCAGTCTCTTTAGAAGATTTCATATCTTAGACCAAAGCTTGTATACTTAGCTGCCCTGTGGAGTTTGTTTTGGTTTTTTTAAGCTTATTTGTGTGTGTACCAAAAACACCAAAGGTGGAATTCTTTATTATGTTTTTTTTTAAGAAATGTCAGTGTGTTTGTGGGTCTTTCTTCTGAGACAATAGGGGAAACAAACTGTTTTCTCTATTTACTGTCAAACTTTTGTTTTCTGTATCACCCTCTCCTACTCCTCTCTGCTCTTTTTAATGTCTTAAATCCAGATGCTGTGTACTGCAGACTGTACTTCCTGCAGTTTAGCTTATTAGACAACCCTAACTTCAGAAAATGCTGCATTCTGAATATAAGGGCTACTTGAATGAAAGTAAGCACTGAAGAAATAAGACAACTATATACACATATTCGTCCAGCAGCATAACTTGGAAAGCGATGGGATTTGTGTCAGAAGTTGACTGAAGTCTGCTGATTTCAGTAATTCGAGTGTTGTCTAAATTAAACTGTGTAATTGTATTTCTTGTTCTCTGCCAACAGTGAGACTTCCTCTTTAATGGCAGTTGTTATTTCATTAACAAATCTTTGTCTGGTCAGTTTTAGAGATATAATGGGATAATACTGCAGTGTAAAGTAGCTTTAAAAACCTGTAGCTGAGTTAAAGGGAAAAGGTGGTCAAAACAAGAATATTGAGGAGCTCTGACATCTACCCAGCATGCTCTAAGACGTTACTGACAGCAGGTGTCCATTCTCCCTGTGTTAGAAATCAACCGTCATTGTACTGTTTTGTCACTTGTCTGTGCATCTTGGCCATGTGAGTGCAGATTTCAACTGTTCCTTCAGTGGGCTTAAGCTAGGATGCCGGACTTCATCCTGCAGTGACTGAGATACCTGTGCTGGTGCTGGTCAAATTGAGGTCTTAACAGTTGTAAGTGTTAATATCTGTTCACAGAAGCCTGTCCTTAGTGTTTTTGCATTGTTAACTTTGGAGGACTAGTTCTAGACCTTTAAAGATGAGGTTTGTGTTTGTGGCAGAAAGCCTTTCACTTCTAAAGAATAATCTTCCTGAAGTTAAATAACTGGAATTTTTAAAATATTCAAGACCTTAGAAATAATGTATTGTAATAATATAGATAATCTATTTTTTTAAAAAAAAGTTATTCTTAATTCTTCATTTATCTGAAATAACTGAATGTAGGTTTTGAGCCTATATTTTCATGAATCCACAGTCACTTTTTGCAAAGGTGCTTTGCCCTAGGGATGGTGTGGTGGCTTCTAACTGCATTCCACTCTTCCTCCTTGTTGGTTTATGGATACAAACAGCCTCTATGTGTTCCTTTGCTTTAGTACTTCCTTCCAGATTTTTGCAGGTGGGATCCCATTAAGACACGAGAGACTGAAGGTACCAGCACCAGACTATGGGGTTGTACTTTTTTTTTTTAACTTCCCTGTGTCTTGCAGTCATAGAGATCCTAGCTTTCTGTACTCAGCTGTATTTGTTTGGTGTGAACCTGTAAGATTCTGAAATGGAATTACTTTCTTCTTCTGATTCATACTTCCATTAGGCGTGTTGCTTATAGAAAAAATTGCAGGAAAATGGACTTTTATTCTTAAAATTACTCCAGACAGGCTTGCATTACTTCAGCAGTTCTTTTATAGAACAACGTGTGTGTGTGTGTGTGCACTTTCTAATGAACTCAAAACATCTTGGTCTTCAAAAACTCTTGGCTCTTGCATGTAGTAGCTGTCCAAGACAGAAATCTGAAAATACGGCTTTTTGGAAACAGGTGCATTAGTAGACTCATGTCTAACAAGACCTGACTCTTCTTCTTTCTTCTCTGTTCTTCCATCCTCCTGTTCAATAAGCGGCCTTTCAGAAACAATATCCAAAAAGAACCTGTGTCATTTTTCAGCAGTAGTTTTGAGTCTAGGTGTCGGAGGTGCTTATATTCTTCTGAAGAGACTATTTTTTGCAATGATAAACGTTCTAACTCTCCTGGGAAGTCAGATTTGCTTTTCAGTGACTGTCCTGTGGAACTGCCTGGTTAGTAAAGTAGGGGCTGAACAGGGAAATCCAATTCTTCTTCATTTTCTGCAGCTTCATTTTTCAGTAAGTTTGTCTCTGGCACTGGTGAATGCTTTCCTGCAAGCTTGAAAGTAAGTGTGCTGTGGAGGGTGTATGGCAGGCTGTGAAGTGAATGTGTCTCGGATAGCTGTCTTTTGAAAGCCGAGTATCACCTTTGCATAAACACTTCGGTGCAGATGGACATGGTATTGGTTACATCACTCCGGAATGTTTTATTGCTATGGATTCCACGTTGCCAGGAAACAAAACACAAATTTCAATAGATTTGGCATTTGACTTCAGATAAACACTGTAAAAGTCAACACATTCCATAATTCATAACAATTCTGACAGTTGCAAATCAGTGTCTGTAGTGCAGCTGCACCAGATGCTTTGTTTTACGGTATTGTTAATGATGACTTAAAACTGTTAACATGCTACATAGAACTGCTGACCCCTGTAGTAGAACGAGGGCTAACCTTGGTGCCAACACTCACAAAGTTATCTCAAACTTTGGTTGGGTTGGATGATTGCGCTTCTTTAATACACCAGTGTCTAGAGTCAGGTTATTACAATCTTGCCATCCCTCTTTTAAGCTTCTTGCCATTCCAGGATGCAATGAAATGCTTCAGGTCTGAATCTTAATGACTTGTTAACAGAAAACAAGTGGAGGGGGGTCAGGACAACCAAAAGGTTTTATTTTTAATCTGCTCGTTTAGCTATGTTTCTAGGATGCTTGGCAGCTGTACCCTTGAAAAAATGAATGGAAGAAGTATAGTGTAGCCAAGCTGCAGCATTCAAAACATAATGGCATAATTTTTGAAGGGACAATTGTTTACTGTTGTGTTCTGCATTTCTCCCCCTCCTAACCTCTCCTTGTCTCTGAGGCTCCTGCAGCCAGTTCCATCAGCATTGTCTGGAGCCTAGGCTGCTACCTTCTGTGTTGAGGTGCCTGCTCAGTTAGGAATTGGTCCTCTAGAGCTTGTTCTTAGATTACTTCATTTTTTAGGCTTTGTGGAAGGAGAAGGAGGTTGTAGTGACTGGAAGGTTTGGGTGGTTCTTTTTTTTTTTTTTTTTTCTTTTTTTTTCTCTCAAGACATGATTGAACACACAGCCCATGTTTAGCTGAATATCTCCTTCTGCAGAATATTCTGCAGTCTATTTAGTATCTTAATTGCTGCCAGATAAATTCAGTTCTTGTATGGTCTAAGTTCATCTGACAGAAAATACTTCTGTATACATTCATCTATAACCAAAGGGAACCTCTTCAAATTGTAGATCATTTTTTTTGTAAATGGTGGCATGTGGGTTAATCATGTCTCTTTTGTGTGCTGTATTCCCCCCCACCCCCCCCATTCCTTTTCCTGGGAGCTATGGTAATAATCTACTGCAAGTAGTATTTGAAATAGGATTTCACTTTCACTGAATTCAACAAAGTTTCAAAAAAGTTTTGAGTCAGAAAGAAAGCAAGCAAGCTCTGTTAAACATAAAAACTTTAGTCAGCTCCATCTCCTTTCTGACAACCAGATGTTTTGTAACTAAACCCTTGGACCAGTGACTGAAAGTAGGGACCTATTGTAACAAAAGTAACTTCAGCTGATTTAGAAATGTCTTTTTGGACAATGTCTCTACAGACAGCGTTGTTGTATGATATTTCTCCTTCAGTGCTATTGGCAAAACAGGGGTGTATGAGGTATAGTACTCTGTTCTTTCAGCAGTAGAAATGGAATTCATTAAAATAGCAAAAGGCTGTATATATCTTTTTGTCCATACCTTATGATGATCTATTAATGTGTTTGCAATCTAGGAGACAGGCTGGTAGTTAAATGTACGTTAACATAGTTATCTGCTTAAGTACAGCTGGAAGGAATTAAAATCTGTCTTCACTATTGACATTCTGCTCTGAGGTTTATTTTACTTCTAATTAATTGGAAGGGATGGTATTTTGCTTTTATGATAACTGCAGATTTCCCCCTAATTATTTTTGGCAGGGTTGCATGTTAATGCTAGAACATCTGTCCGTTTATAAGATATCACTGAGGAATTTAAGCAAGTACTGAATAAATGGAGGCAATAAAATTTTCATCACTGGATTTTATTTTGTTTTTGTTCTCTTTCTAGAGTGGCTTACCTAAAATCAAAAAAATTTGGTAAGGCAGAAATTGCTCAGATGGTCTCAAGAGCTCCATATTTGCTGTTGTTTTCAGTGGAAAGACTGGATAACAGACTGGGTTTCTTCAAAAACGAACTTGGCCTCAGTGTAAAACAGGTAAAGACTATACACTGAAGTCTTTAGGTACTTTGTCAGTGACAACTGTAAGGCCTTGGAATATGAATACTTAAGTGTTTGGAGGCTATTCACAAACATTGACATTACCGATGGGAATGCAGAGGGTTACAGGAGGATAACATTTTAACTGTCTGTAGAAGTAATATGGGCATCTAACATTCAAAGGTTCTGACGTACAGTTCTTGAAGATGATCCGCTGCAGGTTATTTTCAAACAAGCATGTGTGTGTCCAGTTTTATTATCTGAGGTGGGTCAGAGGACTGAATCCATTGCTGAAAAAGCAAGCAGCTTTTTTAACTTATAGAAAATTAATTGGCTCTCTTCATCTCTTCAAGATACTGTAATATACTTAGACTATTTTTCAACGATGAGTTAATCTGTGAATATCATATCAAAGTAAATGCCAAATCATATGCTCAGCTCACCAAGAGTAACCCCTGGGTTCACTCGTGAGTGCTTAGTAGGTATTTAGAACCATGCTTTGGGATCTTCAGAGGAGGTAGTAGCTGGACTTTCCTGGAATAAGTGGGCAGTGTTAGTTGTTTCCTGCAGTAGCTGGGATTGCAATAAATGTCAAGTTCCAAGTGGAATCTGGTGTGCTTCTATTAGCTGAATAGTCACAGCTGTCACAGTGCCTGTTGCTGGCCTTTCCATGCTTGAGGTAAGAGATCTCTCTGGAAAAGGGTTTAGTCACTGTCTTGTACTCAGGGCGAATTACAAGTAATCACATGGCTTAGGAGATGTGGAATAATTTCTTGTATTGCCATAATACTATGGTTTAACCAGATCCTGAGGTAGACAAATTACACTGCAGCTGAAAAATCCTTTTATAGCCTCTATGAGGTAGTGTTTTGATTACTTTTTTCAAGAAAGGTGGGAAGAAACAACTTGAGCACTGAGAGAGATTGGGCACTTGTTAATAAAATAACAGCTATGTTATTTTTTGTTTCCCAAATGAACATATTTGAGTAACTTTTTGCATCTTAATATAGTGCTGTTTTATGCAAACTCATCTTTGGTGTAGAGGTAAAATGAAATGCAAGTGAAAGTGCATCCCTCTTCCAACTGAGGGGAAAAAAAAAAGTTTATATGAGGTCTCTTTCTTTCACAGATGGATTCACAGACAAGTTTTCAGTAATAATCTTTCCTTTGTGTTTTCCCTAATTGTAGACAAAGGATCTGGTAATTCGTCTTCCAAGGCTATTGACTGGCAAATTGGAGCCTGTAAAAGAAAATCTTCAGGTGAGTTTATTAGTAGATACTAAAATTGTATTGTGTGTCCACATAGTTTAAGAGTTGTCAGAAGATAAAATTCCTGGAGGAGAATGCTGAACAGAAAGAATTTAATGAAATAATTTTAGTGGAGATATAAAATACCTGAGGATTTTGTTAAACAATTTCTTTTCTGCTATGGCTTGCAAGCTTATAGCATATGTGGAGCAGTATCTTATTCCGTCTTATACTCTGATGTAGGTTAGAAACTTCATCTGGGTCCCTTCCTGCCAAAAGTTGCCATCTGATGACACAAATTGTTACCCATTTCTTTACAAGGAGTGAAGAGCAGGGCTTGCTCCCTCCTCCTCCCCCGCCGTAATTATTATGTTTTTTTGCTAACTTGGATAGTCTGTGAGGATTTAGGAGCAAGAAATGTGCAGTTGATTATTTTCCTCTTGGCAGGTAGCTAGTCTGCCAAAATGTGCATTTGACACCTATTGTCCGATAGCAGATGGTCGTTATTAACAACTGTTGGGTAAATAACTTCAAACCCACAGGGACTCCTTTCCCTTTTGAAAATGTAACTATGTATTGGTTTAATTATTGTGCTGTAAAGCCATCTAGGCCAAACAGCATGATGTAGTATAACAATTTGAGAAATCCCATTATCCTATAATGCATAACTATGAATTAAAATATATAATTTTTCAGAAAGACTCACTGCTCTGAAACTATTTAACACTGGGAATCTTGCAATCTGAAATGTGTGTGTGGTAAGGGAGGAGACTGGAAAGTAGCAGACTGTTCCAATTAATAGTGCTTTCTTTTTAATGAACATTGTTTCCACAGGCTAGGGATTCAATATATTATAATGAATGCATTTTTAAGATCCTCAGTTCTATGCGACTATCTTGTCTATCTACCAAGAAGTGTATAGTCTAGCACATTTTTAACAAGTTCAAGAGAGAGAAGAAGGATTTTTAGGTCCTTGCTATTAGAATCTACTGATACTTAGAACCTCCAGCCTTTCGGGAGGTTGGATGTCTCAGATTCAGAATCTGGGTTCAGACCTGTATGTCCTAAGCTGGTGGTGGGCAGGCAGTGAAACCATCAGTTCAGAAGTGACTTGGTGGTATCCCTCATTCTGAGCAGGCTGTTACTTAGCAACAACTGCTGCAGCTGATACTGGTTGTCAAAAGATACCAATCATGGGCTAAATAAGCTGAAGGATGGCTTATTCCATCCTCTGAAGGTTTCATCAAGCACAATTAGAGATTCACTGCTAGGGTAAAACTGGAAAGCTTGCATTACCACTGCCTGTTATGGGAATCATACAGAGTATGTTGAATATTGCTAGGGCTGACGCCATAAGGATATTAGCATATGTGGTCTAGAGAGTTACTGAATATTAAATATGTTTGCTGTCAAACTGAGTGCAGGCAAAGCAACTTAGACTTGAGCTCACTCTTCGTGTCGAGAGAGCTGATCCATTTCACAGAGCAGAAAAGAAAAGGTCAAGATTCTTGCGACAATTACCTCTACAGTGGGTCCAGCTGTACATCTCTACTGATTTAACATCAGGTCTTACTCTCGGTTGTATATCTTAATGCACTGTTACCCCTGCCAACTCACATCCATGGAAGACACTGCTAAAATGCAAACACATCTCTTCATACTTGAATGCTGTCTTAATTCATTAGTATTTCTTGTGGTACGCAAATATTTATAAAGCAGATAGGGAAGAATGAGAAGTTGAAAGACCTGGATAGTCACCTCTAGGAACAATTCCCCGTAAGGATCTGGAAGTCCTAAGGTAGCTTCAAAACCCAGATTCTAAGCCCTTCCCTTTGTATTTACCAGGCAGTTTTGGAAAAGAGCTGCAGTCTTGGCACATCAAAGTGGAAAAACAGAAAGCACCACCTTTTTGCTAACTGAAGAAGTACCTGAGTTGGATTTGAAAGTCTGGTTATGTTGACTGACAAGCACACCCACTTCATGCCTGAAAACAAGCTGCTTGTAAATGTCACTGGAGGATAGAAGAAATGGCTGAGTTACCAGACACTCTTGTATGCTGAATTCCTTTCTCAACAACTCAATGAACTGCTTGCCATTCTGCACTTTGGGAGGAGTGCTCATGATTTTATTGAAAAAATGTGTTTTGTTTTCCTTTTGGGAAACCATAATTGAAGTCAAGGCAGTCTGTGAAAAAGACATTTTACTTTAGACATTAACCAACTGTAAATAAATTGAATACACCACATATTCTACACATCTCTTTCAGCTTCAACAGACTTCAGCTGAAGACTACAGGACTGAAATTATACTCCCTAATATAAAAACGTAACTTGGATACATTAGCAAAAGAAATAATACACTAACAAAAGTAGTCACTAGCTATTTGATTGCTGTGTTTTACAGAGCTCAACAGCTCCACAACTAGAAAGTCAGGCTCTTTTGACAGCTTGGTATTGAAACTGGTAAGAGACTCTTAGGGGAGAATTTTTGTGCTTGTAACTGCGGTGCATACTGAGACACAGCTTTTTTGTTTGTATCTCAGACAAGCTGAAAAACACATAGCATTCACAGAAGTCATCTTTACTTTGGGGATACTCTATAAACAAATTACACTTTAATCCAGAATGATAAAGAATTTGCACTGTCTGACTTGAGAACTGGAGTGGCAGGTGTTACTGTGTGTTGCATTCTTGCTGCTGTGTGACAAAGGGCAGAAGGATTTTGCGTTAGTTTATTTCAGTGGCTCATTAAAATAAGCAAAGTTTGCTGAGCTGACTTTTGAAGATAAAACTGTGCTCTCTTTCAGGTTTGTCAGATTGAACTTGGTTTTCAACGTACTGAAATTCAACAGATTGCGTTTAAAACCCCCAAGATTTTAACTGCAAGTAAAAAGAGACTCAAACAGACATTTGACTACTTACACAACATAATGGGCATTCCCCACCACATGCTTACTCGCTTTCCTCAGGTGAGCTGTTAATCTGGGAATAAATTGTAGGTGCTCTTTGCACAGCTGCATCACTCGTTTGGTGCTGAAGGTAAAGCCTCACTGTATGCAGGACGTGTGAATTCTTCAACTTGTCTGTGGCTTTTACTCTAATTGGAATAACTTGTATTAGCACTCCGCAGCCATTGAGGATTCCAGTGTGGAAGTGCCCTTCTCCCCCTGGCACATGTGACGCCACCATCCCCAGTCTTGTGAATTTTTAAGTTTTGAACAGAAGTAGTCATGCTCATCTCTTCTGGATTCATGCAAGAGAGATTACTGCCTGCTTAGGGATTCCTTGTCCTGAAATCTTACCTAGTTAAGAGACACAAGGGAAGACAGATCATGCAGAAGATCTGTTCATCAGATAACATATATATAAAAAAAATTATTTTTGATTTGTCTAGTTAAAAAATGTTTATAGATTCTAGGATCTGAAAATACAGTTTAAAGGTAAGAGAAGTTCTGTCCATTAGACAATCAAATTCTCATCGATCTTCCTATTGGTGTGCCAATAGCTAAAAAATCACAGGAGTGAAAACAAAATAGTCATCAAAAAACAAATTTTTTTTTCTGTCTGCTCATTACTGTTATTCCCTCACAAACTAAAAGTTGAAAACATTAGTTACTTCATCCAGTGCTGACGTGCAGTCACACTAGCTTCTTACAAGGAAAAAAAAGCATGAATTACAACTTCTGAACTGCAATAATTTTCTTCCTAAATCAAGTCTAGTAGGGAATCTAACTGGCTAAAAGCCAAAATTATATGGGGAAATAAAACTACTCCCCAGGATTTTGATTACTTATCTTACTATTTAATATATATTAACAAGGATGCTTGCTATAACTCCAGTCTGTGTGTCACTTTTGCTCTCCTTGACCTGTAAGTGACCACAAGTCTTACTCACTTCCTTCTCAGTTGTCTTATTGTTGGCTTCATGGTGGTTCATCTCATTATTTATCTTCCTTTTGTTTGGAAGGGTAAGTGGAGAGTTTCCTCTACTCCTTGGTTCTTGGTGCAGTCACCCTCTCTCTTCCCTGTTCTTCCCTTCCATCCTCAAAAACTGTGAGTTCCAGGAAATGGCTAGTACAACTCAGTCTGTATATGGTCTGGCCATTAACTTGTGCATTCACAAATGCATACGTGTGTCCATCTGTTCTTGCTTCTATTCTGAATGACAGTAATGCTGAAAATAAGAGGCACACAGGATTTTTTTGTGAAATCCTCTCTGATGTTACAGCTGCTGTTGTAACCATCCTTCCTGTCAGCTAACGCTCTAAACGCTGGTTAAGGTTTTTTCCCCTGTCTCTTGACTCCCTCTTAAAATTCCAAGAAGGCAGAGAAGGAACAGTAGTTTTGCTTTCTGTCCTAGTTCAAATCCTTCCTTCAGTAGTGTAGTCTCTCCTTTTTAGTAAAAACTGCTCGCTTTCATTGCTCTAGCATTCATGTTTTCACCATTATCTTTAAAGTATCTTCTCTCTCTTCAGTTGTACTGCTCAGAATACAGCTTATTGTATTGAAGCATTTATTTAGAATTTAGATAAGGTATATATAAATGTAGCCTACCTGGTGTTTGACATAAATGAGAAGAAAAGATGCAAATTATTAGTTTTCTTCCTAGATCTTCAGTTTGTCTAAAAAATGCTCTTATTTTAGATTCATTAGAGTCTGAAACTTAGACAACCTAGAAGATTCTTCCCTTTCTTTCTTTCTTAGGTTTTCAACTCAAAGCTATTACGAATCAAAGAAAGACATATGTTTCTTACATTCTTGGGAAGAGCCCAGTATGACCCAGCGCAACCCAGCTACATCTCTCTGGACCAGCTAGTATCCTTGCCCGATGAGGTGTTTTGTACAGAGATTGCCAAAGCTTCTATACAGGACTTTGAAAAATTCTTAAAAACACTTTAATTAGTAACACATGTAAAAAGGAATAGAATAAAGTTATGAAATAAACATATTTTATAAAACTACTCCCCTTTATGGTCTCTTAACTTCTTAATTACTGGTTTAAGAAGTTGTTGCTTATGAAACATCTGTAGGATGTAAAGGCTCACAGTAATATTCTTTATGGTGACTTAAAAATAGATTTCAGAAGGATTAAGTGAATATATGTTGTTTGCTACTGATGCAATCCTTGTAATTAATTGCTAATTTAATTGAGAGTGAATGATGCAGCACACTAACATAAAAGTAAATGGAAGTGGATTATTATTCTTTTTTTTCTTTTAATAATTTCAGAGTTTTGGGAGATGGAGACACGGGCTACTGACTTATTCCTTGTCTCGCCTTCTGTCTTCTCCCCTCATCCTCCCTGCCAAAAATTAGAATAACAAGCTAATGCAGTAGTGAAGAAGTGACGTGATTAGCTGTTAAGATGAAAGCGGGTAATAAGGGTATTCTTTTCCTTGTACAGTAGAAGGAAGTACACTTACATAGGTGAAGCCCCTCATACAAAAGGGCATTTTTCAACAGGTTACAAAGGTGTTTCTTTGTGAAGCTGGCTGCTGAAGTTAGTATCCTAAAAGCTGTGCAGTGGAACTTGGTTTGATGCCTGGTGGATGAAGGAAAGGCTGTGGACGTCATCTACCTGGGCTTCAGCAAAGCCTTTGACACCGTCTCCCATAGCATTCTCCTTGGGAAGCTGGCAGCTCATGGCTTGGATGGGCGTACTCTTCACTGGGTAAAAAACTGGCTGGGTGGCCAAGCCTGGAGAGTTGTGGTGAATGGAGTTAAGTCCAGTTGGCGGCTGGTCATGAGCGGTGTTCCCCAGGGCTCTGTTTTGGGGCCAGTCTTGTTCAGTATCTTTATCAATGATCTGGATGAGGGGATTGAGTGCACCCTCAGTAAGTTTGCAGATGTCACCACGTTTGGTGGGAGTGTCGATCTGCTGGAGGGTAGGGTGGCCCTGCA